GTCTTTATTCTTCACAAAGAAAATACTAGAAGCAGCTGGGGAGGTCGAGGGTCTGATGAACCCTTTGCGTAAATTTTCATTAAGATATTCTTTTAAAATTTCTAATTCCTTTTCAGAGAGTGGATAAATATGACCGTAAGGAATAGGAGCTCCGGGTATGAGATCTATTGGGCAATCATATAGCCGATGAGGAGGAAGTGTTTCCGCTTCTTTTTTACAAAAGACATCTGCAAAATCGGAGTAGAATGGAGGTATAACTGGTTCTACAGTAGTTTGGAGAATAGGAATGTGTTGTAAGCACGTTTTTTTTACAGAAATCAGAAGCAAAGGAGATGGAGAAGGGAGACCACTTAATTAAAGGATCATGGTTTTTTAACCAATTAATTCCTAGAATGACGGGATAGAGTGGAGATTTAATAATATCAAATGTAATGAATTCGAAATGTACGTTGTTGGTAATCATTCTTAGAGGGATTGTTTCATCTTTGATGGGTCCTGAGGATATAAATGAACCATCAATAACTCTGATTGGAATAAAATTGGTTTTTTGAACACAAGGAATTTTATTTTTTGAAACAAAAGAAAAATCAAGAAAAGTTCCATTAGCACCAGAATCAATGATGGCCTCAGTCACGATTCTTTTTGTATCCCACTGTAATATGAGAGATATAGAAAAATAAGTAGATGCTTTTCTTTTTTGAAAAACGTTCAATATAGAGGTAGATGAATGAAGCTTACCACCTTTTGAATGTTTCAGTAGAGGACATTCGGAAATTAGATGTTCATTCGAAGCACAATACATACATAAGTTTAGTTGTCTCCTTCTTATTCTTTCTTCAGAAGTAAGAGGACTTTTTATTATACCTACTTCCATAGGTTCAGTTTGTGGAGGAATTTTTTCAGGTAGTTTTAGAGTAGTGAAAGGTTTTCTCCAGGTAGAATTAGTAAGAACCCTTTCAGCTTTTCTTTCTCTTAGACGTCTATCAATACTGATAGACAGTTGAATCAATGCATTTAAGGTAGGAGGAAGTTCTGTACGAGAGAGTTCATCTTTCACAGCTTCAGATAATCCGAGACGGAATTGATTGCGTAAAGTAATGTCATTCCATTGGGTTTCTGTAGCCCATCTTTTGAATTCTGCAATATAATCTTCAACAGGTCTATTCTTTTGGTGTAATGTTCTGATGGTTAAATCAGCAGTAGTTTGTTTAAAAGGATCTTCATATAATAAAGACATAGCTTCAAAGAACTCATCCAATGAATCCAATATGGGATCATCATTTTCCAAAAAGGAATGGGCCCATGCCATAGGTTCACCTCTTAAAAAAGAGATCACTGAGCAGACTTTGGATCTTTCGGTGGGATAAGATCTAGGTTTTAAAGCAATTAGTAGTTTGCAAGAATTCAAAAACTCTCTGTACTTTGTTCTATCTCCATAAAATTTTTCTGGATTACAGACAGCAGGATCACCAGCCGATTGAAGAGCGGCATGAGGAAGATGACCTTGTATGTCTCTAACATAGGTTAATATTCTCTCATTTGTAATTTGCAGTTCCTGTAACCCTTGAGCAATCGTATCCACTCTATTGGTTAGGGCAGAAACTTGAGAGTTAATATCTGCTGGTTCCATTTAATAAGGCTGGATTATTCTGTAATATTTATTTTGTAATATTTCTTTAATTGGAACTCAACTGCAGCATTTCTTGGTTGCAACAACAATAAGGTTCACCTCCTTTTATATTGGTATGAAACTATGGTCACTGTACCTTTAAATATCCATGTAGGTAAAATTAGGCTTTGTAACAATCCTTATGAGTAAGAGGAATAATTAGACAAAGTGACACTTTAGTGAGTTTTAGATACTGTGTAATATAAATAATAGTAATTGACTTGTTTGGTAAAAGTATTACTTAACTTAAAGGCAGTTCTGGCACTGGAAGGGTTAATTCACCCAATGAAGGAGAAATTAGAAGTCCGTTTCAACAAGCTGAGAACTAGGAGTGGAGAGTGGGGAAGTCCGTTTTAACAAGCCGAGGTCTGGAAGTAGAATTCAGAGTTACAAGCCGAGGTCTAGGAGTGGAGAAGGTAGAAATCCGTTTACAAGCCGAGGTCGAGAAGTGGAGAAGGTAGAAATCCGTTTACTAGCCGAGGTATAGAAGTGGAGAAGGTAGAAATCCGTTTACTAGCCGAGGTATAGAAGTGGAGCAGGTAGGATCAGAAGTAGAGCAGCTGATCTTCATGCAGCACCTGTGCGAATAATCCAGCCCTTTGAATCTGGCGCGGTCCTCCTAAGTATCGTGGAGTGACCGCGTCAGAGAAAGGGGCGGGGCTGAGCGCCGTGAACCCGGAAGTGGGTTCCGGCGATGAATTACATGCCATGCTATACCTGACAGAGTCATTATAGGACTTTTTAATATACCAATTAAAAGCGGTCTTATTATAGTCTCTCACCTTTAGCATTCCATTCCTTATGCAGGTATTGCATCCTCCGCTTCGTTATTTTGTTTGTTTATTCTACGCACTGGATCAACTGTAATCCTGACATTATGACATGGCCATAGATTCGGCAGATTTGTGTCAGCACATAGTAGCTTGTTAGAGAAAGCTAGAGGAGAATGATCACCATTTTGATCAGTTCACCCAAGCTTTCAATACACTACTAATACATACGGCTCATTTACAGCCTAATATTCTGTTAGCAGGTACACCCCCTCCTAATGTACCTATTCCCATTGAATATAGGACACCTAACATCACCCTATCGTCACCTCTGCATTTTGAAGGTAATATTCATGAATATTAGGGTGTTTTTTTAATCAAACAGAGTATAATTTTTAAGCCTCTCCTGGGTCTTTTCCCATGAATAGAGCCAAAACTGTAAGGTAAAGCTTTAGCATGGGCCAATCCATTATGGAAGAGTATTACGTCTATTGCCCATAATTACTTAGAATTCCTTATAGAATTTAAACTAATGTTTGAACCTTTGGGTAGGGAGACCAAAACTGCTACTAACTACTATCAAACAAGTGAACCGGTCTGTCTCAGATTATCTGAAGTTATCCTTGATGAGATTGCAGCCCAATAACTACCACGGAGATTGTGACAAAAGCACCTTCGTCACTGAAGTTTGGAGAGGTTGGCTTGCAAGCCTCTTGCCCTGTGACTATGGCCCCTGGGATGTAATGCCCTTTAAAAACACATTTTGTGCATATTGAGACTTGGCACAATACTCCTTTAAACTTTCAAAGTGGTTGGAAGTTGAACTTCGAACCACCGAACAGCCGGACCAAACACAAGTGGAGTGTGCAGCCTATTTACCTCTCAGGCTGGGAGTTAACTGCAGCCAAACTGACGAACGGCTGGGTGGTCGCCGTTCGTATAGTCGAACACATGGCGGTGGCCATCTTGTTTAGTCGAACGTGTTCAGTGGTGTTTTGTCGTCGAGTTCATGGAACTCAAATCGGACACGCAAGAGCACAAACACTGCTTAACTTTACCTTCTCACTGAAATTTACCTTCTCTGGGACTTCGACTCTTCGGCGGGAGTCAAACGATGTTCGACAATTCGAATGGCACTTTAACATTGGCTATTTGCACGAACAGCTCCCGTTCAACTAATTGAACTGAACTTAGACACTGAAAATAGACCGGCCGCACAGCCTAATTCCCTGGAACTGTTTTGGGCATGAAATCATGCATGCGGTCGGTCAAAAGAGACTTCCAGGAATTTCCTGAACCCCTGCTCTGCTCTGGGTGATTTTGGGATATTTTGTTCACCCAGATGGGGATGTAATCTTTATGGGTATATGTTATGTTTTGGGGTGTTTTCTGTACTTTGGGGGAAATGTGTGTTTTTCTGCCTGTGGGTAATTAGATTATTCTATAAGCTACTTTAATTATATCCCAGGCAGAGGGGAGGGATTGTTTGCTTACATGGGAGTGTCACACTGTATGTTTGTTCTTATTGGTCTGTACAGTTGGGAATGCGGTGTTCCATCAGGTCCAGGGGGTGTGCCTCTGGCCTGAGGAATTGTATATAAGCAAACCTGTATCAATAAAGCCTCAGACTTGTTCTACCCTTCATGAAGTCTTGGCTCATGTTTGGGGGATTGGAGAACTACCTACAGTCTGGGGATTGCTATAATCACTATACTCCCCAGAGTACTATCACTAAGCTCTTGTAAGAGCTTGTTCCTGTTCCTGCTCTCTGGATTAAGAGAGGTCTACCTACTGGAAGCTGGATCCTGGTTTTGGGTCCAGAGTGGGTGGAAGACGGCGAGACCCCAACCAAGCTGCGGCAGTTTGTCGGGTCTAAGGTGGTTATGGTGTCTAGTGGAGTGCTTGAAGCCGTCAACAGAAGTACCCAGTCGGGGTGCCAGGCGATCCATTCTCCGTTACATGATATCCTTATTTATACTCCTTACCTCCAGACTCATCATAAACATGTCAAAAAAGTATTGCAAACTTTACTTGAAAATTAACTTTATTGCAAACTTGAAAAGTGCATATTTGACCAAACAGAGGTTCAGTATTTTGAGATATAATTTTTCGGCCTCTGGTTTCCAAATGGACCCTCGTAAGCTAGAACCCGTTCTACACTGGCCATTACCTAATGGGTCTAAAGCCATTCAAAGGTTTGTTGGGTTTGCTAACTATTATAGGAGATTCATCAAAGATTCTCTTCCGTTATAACCACCATCACCAATATGACACGTAAGGGGGCTATTTGTACTATATGGTCTAAAGAAGATAGGGAGGCTTTTGAGCTTCTTAAGAAATTGTTCGCCTCTGCTGACATATTGGTACAGCCTGACACTAGCAAACCTTCATACTGGAGGTTGATGCCTCAGAAACAGGGGTAGAGGCTGTTTTTTCTCAGTGGGAGAGTCAGGACACCCCTTTACATCCCCGTGGGTACTTTGTCTCCTGCTGAGCGTAATTATGATATCGGTAACAGAAAATTGTTGGCTATTATTCTAGTGCTAAAGGGATGGCGACATCTTTTGGAGGGTTCCAAGGACCACCTTTTGATCATTACTGATCACAAAAACCTGGCATATATAGGTAATGCTAAACGACTGTGTTCTAGACAAGCTAGATGGTCTTTGTTTTTATCTCGCTTTAACTTTATCATCACTTACAGACCAGGTCCCCAAGAATTTTAAAGCTGATGCCTTATCTCGGCAATTTGACATTGAATCTGAACAAGAACAAGATACATCCCCTATTGTTCCACTTGAGAGTTTTATTGCATCCACTGTCCTTTGTCATCCCCTCTTCTTTGTTCTATCATGGCGGCTCAGTCCCAGGCACCCTGTGATAAACTTCAGGATAGATTGTTTATTTCTTTGTTAGAAAGAAAGGAGGTGATAAAAGTCTTCCACAACAATGTATCTGCTGGACATCTAGGTATTAATAAAACCATATGTGCTGTCTCGAGATCATTTTGGTGGCCTTCACTCAGGAAAGACATCAAAGACTATGTGGAGGCTTGTACAGTTTGTGCAGTTTCCACTTGGACTTTCCCAATCTCCACAATTTACAGCATTGCGCACAAACACATTGGTATTGTCACAGGGAAATCTTCCCTTAAACAAAGACTAACCATAGACTTATAGGCACCACACACCTCTGTTACCCCAAGTCTCAACTATCTCATACCCTCCAAGGAGTTTCCTCCACTCACGCATGGGTTGAAGCTTGGTTAAGTAAGACCAATATCATCAACACATTCAACAGCTACCATAAAAATAATACAAAATATACATATGTCCATATACAAAATTACAAAAATAATTATATAATTAAATTCTACGTGCGTAATGTAATATTTTTACATAATTAAATAATTTTATTGATTGCAATTTGAGGGACCTGCCTGCAAACCCAGGCCGAAAGTCCAGAGAATTTAATTTGCTAGCACTGTATTTTACCCTGCAACGTTCTACGACACCCTAAAACATGTATATGGGGGGGTACGTTTTCCAGTTTTGAAACACTAATATTTGTGTTCAGCAAAGTCTCCTGAGTATAACAGTACCCCCCACGTACAGGTTTTATAGCGTTTTTGAAAGTTACAGAGTCAAATATATGGGTCAAATATTTTTACATTGAAAATGGCAAGGTTGGTTACGTTGCCTTTGAGAGCGTATGGTAGTCCAGGAATGAGAAATACCCCCATGATGGCATACCATTTGCAAAAGAAGACAACCCAAGGTATTGCAAATGGGGTATGTCCAGTCTTTTTTAGTAACCACTTAGTCACAAACACTGGCCAAAATTAGCGTTCAATTTAGTTTTTTACTTTTTTCACACACAAACAAATATGAACGCTAACTTTGGCCAGTGTTTGCGACTAAGTGGCTACTAAACAAGTCTGGACATCCCCCATATTGAATACCCTGGGTTGTCTACTTTAAAAAAAAAAAAAAAAGTACATGTGGGGTGTTATTCAGAGATTTATGACAGATAATAGTGTTACAATATCACTATTGATACATTTTAAAAATGTATGTTTTGAAACTGCAATAGCCTACTTGTACTTATAGCCCTATAACACGCAAAAAAGCATGTAAACACTGGGTATTTTTAAACTCAGGACAAAATTTTGAATCTATTTAGCATTTTTTTTTCATTCACTTTTGTAGATGAGTAAAAGATTTTTCACGTAAAAGTAAAAAAAATTTTTTTTTTTTTTTAATTTTTCATCATATTTTTTCATTTAAAAAAAAATTAATTACATGAGACTATATAAATTATGGTATGTAAAGAAAGCCCCTTTTGTCCTGAAAAAGACAATATATAATTTGTATGGGAACAGTAAATGAGAGAGCGGACAATTACAGCTAAACACAAACACCACAAAAGTGTAAAAAGCTGCCTGGTCGCAAATGTACAACATCGCAAAAACAGTCCAGTCCTTAAGGGGTTAAGGGTGAGACAGGCTTTTGAAGCTGTGTCCTAAAGGGGTTAAAGGACCACTATAGTGCCAGGAAAACATACTCGTTTTCCTGGCACTATATTCCCCTAAGGGTGCCCCCACCCTCAGGGACCCCCTCCCGCCCAGCTCTGGAAAGGGGTTAAAACGTACCTTTTTCCAGCGCTGGGCGGAGAGCTCTCCTCCTCCGATCCTCCTCTTCTCCTCCCATGCGGCTGAATGCGCACGCGCCGCACGAGCTGCGCGCGCATTCAGCCGGTCACATAGACGCTGGACGCTGGCGTGCTCTCACTGTGAAAATCACAGTGAGAAGCACGCAAGCGCCTCTAGCGGCTGTCAATGAGACAGCCGCTAGAGGAAATAGGGGAAGGCTTAACCCATTCACAAACATAGCAGTTTCTCTGAAACTGCTATGTTTATGAAAAAATGGGTTAACCCTAACTGGACCTGGCACCCAGACCACTTCATTAAGCTGAAGTGGTCTGGGTGCCTAGAGTGGTCCTTTAAATGAGGTAGAACAGACACATGGCACAAATTCTAGGTTTTGTTTTTGTTCAGAAGATGGCCGTGAAGGAAGTGCAATCTCTTTAAAAATAGGATTGATCACTTCACTGAAAAAAAAAAAAATGATTTTAACAAATAAAAATCTAAAATAACAAGAAAAAAAAACACCTTCTGCATTGTTCAAGGACCTTGGGTCAGAACTGTTGGGTTAAAGAAATATACAGTCCGACTCCTACACGAAGACTGGCGAAATATCTGCGAGGAAATGTCCAAACCGCATAATGTATCCGTTTACAAGCAACTTTCAACATTTAGCTAGAATCAGGAAGTGCCCCTTGGAACGCACTCACAGAATGTCGGCCTGTGCGACGTCACTGATGCTGCTTACTCCAGGCTGTCATATCCCCAGCGTTCTATTCGTTTACAGGAAAAATGGGACGGGTTCATCTGACGTCGTTCACTCTGCGCTGTTGCCTGTCTGTATGGGTGTATTGTAATAGGAAAGCCGGTACCTGTTCATGGTGTGCATACAGGGTCGTTTCCCCGGCATGCCGGTACCTGTCCATACAGGGTCGGGCATGCGGATTCCACACGGCAGTGATCAGTCGGGGGCCCCATATCATCCACCTGTGCCCTCTAGGAGCTGACAGAGCCTCATCACTCCTGGGTTTAACACCGCCTTCTCCGTCTTTACATATTACCCCTGTCTATTGGGAACCTGTCCCACTGTTAACTGGAAAACATGCTCAACGTCCCGTCCACCTCCTTTCCTGCCCCCAGCTCCCAGCAGAGAGTGGCTACACTTGGTCGAAGTAAGGTAAGGTTTAAAACCTAATGTTAATATCTTAATGTTGCTAAATATATTTTGGTTGCAACGTCTTGGTTCTGCTGTAAGAACAGTAATATTACTCAACTGCCTCATAAATTACATCTTCAATGTCAAGGGTGAGCAAAAGGTAAGTCCTCTGCTTTGTTAGTATGAGAGTGTGTTACTTTTTTGTTAACTGTCTAGCCCTGTCCTACTTAAACATTGGCTTACAACTATCAGGTGATGCATTAGCAGGATATAGTATATCTGTCATGCTTGTTTATTTTTATTTTTTTTACATTTATTTAAATATTCATTGCTGTTTCTATTTGCATAAGGAGCTCTGGGACATTTTGTAACATAAAGTTGGGAAAACATCTGGAAGGTCCATTACAATCTCACATTTTCATTCCTACATCACTAAGTGCTGCATAGTCTGTGTGAAGTTGTGTCTTTGATATTTTATGTTTTTGTTTTTTTGTTGCCTTCAATAGCATCACATTTATTTTTCAGAACTTTTTAGCACAAATGTGGACTTTGGTAGACAGCCCTAAACTGTCAAGAAGAGGTGATCTTTTTTTTCAAAAAGTGTCCAGGTTTTGTGTACTTGCTGCACACATAACTGACTGCACAAGCAGTCTAAAGAGTGAACCAGATGTAATGAGTGGAATTGCTCCTGGAAATAAGCTATTTATCGCCTAACCTCATAGTCCACGCTAAACAAACAATACATATACATTCGAAATAGGCTAGGATATGTTGCTACTAAAACTAATCATTGGTTGAATGGAAAGTAGACTAAATTAACATAGTAAAACAGACATAGACACTGATACAGTTACCACTCCATTGATTATCAGCTGAGAGTAAGAGAGATAGGGTGTGTATAGTGGGGAGATGGAATAAAGAGAGAGAGGGTGAATTCAAAAAGAGATAATGTGTTATTCACAGGGCTTTTAACAGGTTAGCCCTTCCTTCTGCTGGACACACCTCCCGCAATCCCCTAGGATGTAACAGAACCAGAGTGCCTCCTGGGGGAAAGGGGGTTGCACTGGAAGGGAATGGAGGAGGAGTTTATCAACAACCCAACTGATTTTGCCTGGTGAAAGGCCATGTGCTTCACAGAGGACTCCATTATGGCCTAAGGGTAGAATGGGGGTTGAATCCCTGTATTAGAACACAACACTTCATTGGCATATAGTTTGACTGTTAATCAGATCCCCCCTTATTACATCTATGTACTATCTTTTTCAAGTGTAAGATGTCCTTTAAGATCGGATCATCCAATAATAAGTGCCAATAGTTGTTAATGATCTGTCTCACTTTTTGGTTTTGTCCTCTGGAGTATTGACACATAAATGGTGTTCTCCTAGTGAATTCTTCCTCATCCTTTTCTTTTATATTTTAATACTTCCAATCTGTCTTTGTCATATACAGCTTTGGTCGCAGAATCTAAAATGTTTTTACTATAGCCTCAATCTTTAAAATCTTGGATCAATTTTTGACTCTGATTAATAAAAACACTTTCTTTTCTGTACAATTCTTCTTTAACCTAGTTAGTTGGCTTTTAGGTATGCTATTTAGCTATGGGCTGTAGTGGCAGCTACTGGTCTGAATATAGCTGTTCACATCTCCAGTCTTAAAACAAGTTTTAGTTTTTACCAGGTTTTCTTCTAGTAAGATCGAGGGAATTGATTTATTTGTTACTGTACAAAAAGGTTAGGTTACTGCCCCAGTTATTAGAGTTAATCTATAAAACATTTTAAAAGTTCCTCTCCACCTTTCCAAACCATAATTATATCATCAAGTTTGCACCCTAGCCACTTTGTTCACCCATATAAATTGATTCCCAGTGCTCCATAAAAAGGTTAGCGTAGCTGTGGGCAAACTTGATGCCCATTGCTGTACCACACCTTTGGAGGTAAAAGTCGCCCTGGAACCAGAAATAATTATTTTCCAATACAAGCTGAATAGATTCCAGGACGAAGTTGATTTGGCTCTGGGGATAAGAGGAGAAAGTTTCTAAAATATGTCTAACCACACTTAATCCTAAATTATGTCTGATACTAGTGTATAAGGAGGAGACGTCTGCAGACACCAAAAGAGTCTTCCTGCCAGTTTAGATCTTCTATGGTTTGTAATACACTAGTGGTGTCCTTCAGATATGATGGACAGTTTTGAACTAGCGGTTGGAGGATATGGTCCACATATTCGAATAGTCTGCATGAAATAGTCAATACCAGTAATAATTGGTCTGCCAGTTGGTTGTGTCATGCTCTTGTGTATTTTTGGCAACAAAAAATAAATTGGTATTCTTTGGTGTGGAAGATAAATTCCAGTTTTTTATAGATCTTAGTAAATTCAATAGAAATCTATGTTTACGCAAGTTCTTTTTAAAAGAGGGAGATTAACTTTCTACACAGTCTATACAAGATAATCAAACTATTACACATACAAATTTTAGAGAGTAATCTTCTTTCTTTTCGAAGTGGCAGATGTCGGAAGAAATTATTGCATTTCAAAAAAATGGTTAATACCAGTATAGTTATAAAACTGGTGGACGGCGGGGGGGGCATAGTTTTCATGTCTTGAGAATACTACCTGGAAGAGTCAGCCAGACTCCTCGGAGACCAGACAACATACAAAAAAATTAAACTATTACCCCACCCCACTAATAAAAGAGAAATTCATAGACTGCTTGAGTATAGACCATTTAAAAGGAAGTTGGGTCAGGATTTTGGAGAGTGTCTTCTCCATTTACGCTGCTACTACAGCATGTATCATGGATTGGAAGTCCCGTGGTTTGGTTGGTGAGTCACTCATGTCGGAGTATTGAGTCCTGCGGGAGGAGCTAGGAAGCCAGAATGCAGTTGCGCAGAGTAATCATAGATGGGCACAAAGTTGTAAACATAGGGAGTTGGGGCGGGGCCTGACTGTGATGGCGGCTGGATGCATTTTCAGAGAGCTCCGGGCAAATCAGTGAAACTAAGCCGCTTACCCGTAGTTCCGGTGCTCTCTCTAAGACAGCCTGTGAAGCTTGAACGTCAGGTGAAAGGTGACTGGCTTTGAACGGTCAACAGCAGCCGTCCAGACTAAGCCCTCGACGGGCTGGAGTAAGGCCTAGCAAGCATAGTGGAGCGGAGAGGCGGCCACTCTCCCAGCCAAGCTCAGACGGACCTTCATCCAAATCTTGATGGTGCCCTGCTACCCCCCCTATGGAGGTGACTATCCTGGAGGCTCACTCACTTTACCGGGGCTGTGCGAACCTGACTCAGACGGCAATGATACCCCACATGGTAGACCTAATATGGCGGATGCCGTGGACACCACTCCTGGCTATGGAGGTGTGATGTCCAGAACGCTGTCCTTCCTGGACAAACTTCTTTCTGACTTTTGGGGGACGCTGTCCCTCCGACAATCAGTACCCGACCTACAAACCTCGCAGGATCACCCACCTAAACTCGGTCTCCGGCAGCCTCAAACTTGGCGTGGCACAAAGTGCGAAAATGGCGGGGAAGATCAGGTAGGCGGAGCACGGAATGCGGGAAGCGCAGGCCTGCATCAGCAAGGGGTGCCTATAGAGCCGGCAGCTGGAAAATCAAGCAGGGAGAGGAGAGCAGGGGATATCGAAGAAGAAACCATATAACATGGACTCTGCATTGATTTTGTCTGGGTCACTACGCCTCCTAATCCATCTCATTACCTGGTATTGTACCCTGTTAAGATTGACATTTCTGCTGAACCTGTAACTTATCTGCTGTCTGGGCCAGTTGTCCCAAATATCTTCACACTAGCACATGCTACT